TCCAAACACATACACACATGTATACATACATAAATAAAGAGTGAAAGAGCCAAAGAGACTTTAGTACTGACAATAATATTAATAACTGTGCTATATACTTAAGCTTCACAAGCGTCCTAACATTCAATCAAGTACAAAAAGCAATGTTATCCGATATCTGGGTTGTGTTTATAGGAATTTGGCATCTGCAACAGCCGAGCACAGATCACAGCGATAAACAGAGTTGGAGCATCAGGAACTCACACGAGGGAAGACGATGCTGTATTGTGTAACAGCTAATAACTGTTTTGCTCAGACAAATCAAATAATATTCTTTAAATTTGCTATGGATGAACCCCAAAGGTAATTGTTATTCTTGAAAAGGGAAACATAAGACTCTGCGCAGCACTAACAGGAACTGCAGCACATCGAGCGATTTTGTTTGAAAGCCATAGCAAAGAGTCGAATCCACCCATGAGAATCCCAACTGCTCTGTGTAAGTAGATGTTGATATTAACAGCAAAGCCTCAGAGAAAGAGCTCCGTGGCAGGGCCTTACTGAAGCATTCACAAGCAGATGTGCTTTTGAACAAAGGGCTGACAATCAAGCAGTAATGTGTGTGATGCTATAAAGGCTGACACATGAGCACAGGGGTGATCCTCACAGGCTAGCTGTACTGCTGGCTGACTGCTGTATAACCAAGCATTGGATGGCATATCAATAGCATGGACACTACAGTAGAGGAATCACAAGTTCAACCTGGTGGAGTTTAATGAAGTTGTCCAAGAGCCTGTTTTAGACATTTTTCAGATCCAACAGTGTATTTCACTACCTCCACTCTGTCCTACCCACCTGCTCTTGGCACTCTTCCAAGAGACCTCTTACTGTATGAAAACTAAAGCTGGTAGGATTTTTTTTCTTACTGCCATCTACATCTCACTGCTCCTGTACTGTAAACCAACCAGAGCACTTAAGAATCCTTGAGCAAAACAATATCAGTCTTCAAACACCAAAGTGTCTGACCTCCATCTAAATGAGTTCATTCTGTCAATTCACCCAATGTTTGCCTTAGTGCAACAGATATTAAATTGCACACGCACACACACACACACACACACACACACACACACACACACACACACACACACACACACACACACAATTATATGTATAGCACAAATTGTCACTTGTGTACTTCTTTTGCTAAATGTTTCAAAGTCAAGTGTTATTGGTATTATAACAGAGAGGAAGTGATTGAGAACAAACAGCAACTCAGCCACAAAGTGGTATGTAACGTATAATCACAGAGCAGTCGGGCGCCGGTTTAGCTCCCTGAGATGAGCAGGCGACCACACGCTGTATAGCTGAGAGCGGCCAGCCCAGGTTTGAATCCGGCCCTTTGCCTGCATGTCTTCATGTCTCTCTCTCTCTCCACTTTCCTGTCACTCTTCACTGCATCTATATAATAAAGGCTGAAAAAAGTCAACTAAAAAAATTAGAGAGAAGCAGCACACTAAGGAGCACAGTGTGCAGAGGTCACCAACTTCTTGCAGAGTCAGTCACTACAGACATCTAAACCTCATGTAGCCTTCAGATTATGTCAAGAACAGCGTGTAGAGAGCTTTGTGGAATGGGTTTCCAAGCAGCTGCATCCAAGCCTGACATCACCAAGCACAATGCTTCATTACAGTGGTGCCACTGGACTCAAGAGCAGTGGAGAAGTGTGCTTTGGAGTTATGAATTACACTTCTACTTCTGGTGATCCGGCGGACGAGTTTGTCTGACTGCACTGTGCCAAGTGTAAAGTTTGGTGGAGGGGAGGTGGGTAATGATGTGGCGCTGTTTTTCAGGAGTTGGGCTTGGCAGTTTGGTTCCAGCTTAGGAAACCAAGACATTTTGGACAATTTCATGTGCACAACTCTGTAGGAAGAGCTTGGGTATGGGCCCTTCCTGTTCCAACACCAGCGCACAAAGTAAGATCCATGGATTAGAGAGTTTGGTGTTAAAGAATTTGGCGCCTACACAGAGTCCTGACTCGAACTCGATAGAACACTTTTGGGATGAAATTGTGAATTTGACTGTGAGCCAGCATCTCGTTCAACATTAGTGTCTCACAAAAGCATTTCTGAAAAAACAGTCCAAATGCCCAGTGAACACTCCTAAACCTCATGGAAAACCTTCTCAGAACAGCAGCAAAGGGTGGGCCAACATATCATATTAAACCTTATCGGTTAAAAAATGGATGTCACTGAAGTTCATATGTGTGTGTGAAGGCAGACGAGTGAATACTTATGGCAAAATCTATCTATCTTTCTATCTATCTATCTATCTATCTATCTATCTATCTATCTATCTATCTATCTATCTATCTATCTATCTATCTATCTATCTATCTATCTATATTACATCTGTTCACAGTTCAGTAAATGTGATTGTCCAAAAAGCAGCAGGATAGTTTCCACCAAATGTGCTGATTTTATATCACAGTTAAAATTCGTAACCATTATTACCGGAAGCCCTTGTACCATTAAAAAATGTAAAAGTTAGTTATGAAATACATGGCAAGTACAAAAGCAATTTTTTTCAACTGGTTACAGATTTTTAAAAATGATGTATCAGTCAGCTGTAAATCCATGGAACATTAATTTGAGGTCTCTCTGTTGCACTGAAGGTTTACCGGGTTCTTTACTTTCTGGATAAGTTTTATGACCCCACAGCCCATGAGACTCATTCAGACTCTTTCTTTACTGTAGGTAACACTGTGTGGGTGGAAGAGAGCTTCCACTTAGAATTCAATCAACAAACACAAATAAATAACCAACGGAAAGGTCTGTTTTTTCAATCTTTGTTCCTCTTCATTTCATTATGATTAATTGTTTAATACTAATTAAAATAAAGCTAAAAGTGTCGATTCAATAATTATCACCCTGTTATATTTCATAACAGATAAACATGTGGGTTTGTCACCTCTGAAATAATGCAGCTCAGCTTGTCAGTGGCAGAAAGCTGTCAAAATAATTAGCTTATGCAAATGGGAGCTTAGAACCTGAGGAAGCCACCTCTGCAGAAATAATAAACCTGTGTGTTTTGTATCTAGAGGCATAGCAGTAGCATGACATAGCAAATGATGGAGGGATGAGCGCTAACGCTGCTCATGCTGCTTACCACACGTTTGTATTGGCATAGCTAATTAAGCATAATTGAGTGCTTTCTACTATCCCTTCTCCAGAGGCCCATATCTACCCTCTGTTGTATTTATGCAAAGGTTATTTGGAGACAAAAACAATCCAATTACCTGTAGAGTACTGGCTTTGCAAAAAATGCAACAAGGACTTGGTCACAGGCCCTCAAAACATCTTGCTCTATAATAAAACCAACAGTCTTTGACTTTAACATGTGGTCAAATGCCACGAAAATTTAGTCCTTTAAGAGCTGTCAACCAAAAAAAAAAACTTTGAACATGAACTTAAGCTTTGAACCGCAGTTCACTCGAGCATCCTTGCAATGCCAAAGTATTTTAGTGCTATTTTACTTTTTTGCACACCCTAAGTTTAATCACAAACCATCAAAAAAGGAAAGACTAAGACATCAGAAATCACCATGCACCCCTGGACTCATTTAGTTCTAACTATGAAATACGATAAATTTCTAATACACGTTCACACATGCAAGATACAGACGCTGGCTAAGATTTAAACACACATTCAGTCATTAACAAAGCCATCATATTCCCCATCATGCCAAAACCATGTTAAGACCATATAAGAGGGCTCTGTGATCATTATGAGATGACACTGCCAATTACCAATACAGCATTTCCGTTTTGTCTGTAAGAGGCAATAGAGGGATTAACTTCAGGACTCTCTGCCTCTCCTCTTCCCTCTCATGAAGCAGGCTATGTTTACTGACTAATCTCTTTTCTTGCTTTAACCATAAATGTGATTACCACTACACAAGAGATAATAAAACCCCATATCTTAGCAGTACCAAAGAGCATGAATTAAAACCTAAGCTGTAGCCTTGAGGAATATCTAAACCAAATAAAATCCACAGCATAAGAACTATTTCATGTTGGGTGCATACAGCCCCCTGCTGGCAAACACTACTCACTATTTAGCCAAATCCAACACAACAAGCTCCATGATCATCTTCTGTTGAATATGAGCAACAGGTATGCAGACACTTTCCAAAGGTATGTTCTAGTGTCACTGTTCCAAAGTCAGTCCTTTACTTGCTCCGATTTACAGACATGAGGGAATCTCAAATGTGTGTTTCAGCAGATTACACATGATGCACTCACATATGAGTCTCACTGTTACTTTGATTCTTACTGTCACCTCCGCCAACTCTTTAAGGAGAGGAAAACCTGCCTTTAATTGTCAATGAAGTTAAGTGTTTGTGCATTAACCAAATATTTAAATTGGTTCATAAAATGTAAAACACACACACACACACACACACACACACACAGGCGATGAAACTACACGTTGAGATTTTTACATAAAGAGCAACATGACTAATGCTTTTACGCATGCGGCTCACTCCTGGTGTCTGTTTGATTGTGGATAAGAAATGAAAGGCAGCTCAATGTGATTCACCACTGAGCAAGTTGGAAATGGAGAGGACCACGCGACCTTCAAAGAGCAAATATAAAAAAAAAAAGACAGAAAGAGAGAGAGGATATATAGATATAGACCGATTCAGTCGCAATGGCATCCACTGAACACTTTTCAAATACCGACGAATAAGTTCAGATAAAAGCTTGGACAAAGTCGACCTCATGGAATATATTAGGAGAAAAGGCTGATACTTTTCATGAAACCGCGGAGGACTCTACATGAATCCGCTATTAAAAGCGGGGGTGAAATGCAGCATGTTAGTGACGGGACATATTAAATGGTTAAAGGTCTGAGGGAGATCACAGAAATTATTGCAAAATTGTTTGATTTAAGGGGAAGAAACGAGACGTGACACGTGGTGAAGGGGGCCAAACGCCTCGTTGATTTGTCAGTTTCGCCTACCTGATATTTCCTGATGAGGTACATTGACGAGGCTGAATCCTTTAGCGTTATAAGCTTGTCTAACCTCGCTACAGCTCCGCGCTTTGCTTTCACCACCGGATGACAGGGACAGCACCGACAGAGTACATAAGGCGACTTGCAGTCTCCACATCGCATACATCAGTGAAATCCTTGATAATGTTTCACAGAGAAATAAGAGATCCGATAGAATAAGAGAAATCCCACAAAACAAAGCCTGATTGAACGATTTCTCCAGTCTGCGCGTTCAGATTTTCATTTTTTTTTAAAGAGAGAGAGGGAGAGAGACTCCTCACTTTAGATGCTGGTGCTTCCACCTCATTTTCCCCTCGAAAAGAAAAGAAATAGCCAACGAGTCAGATCGGTCCCAGTCTGAACAAAATCCTCGTGAAGAAGATACCTGGTGCTCAGTGTGCCAACAACTTCTCCAGCGCACGCACACACCGCTGCCCAGTGTTTATGTCAGTGTGAGGAAAGCGAAATGCAACGGAGACGCACGCTGCACAGCGAGCAGAGCGCACAGGGCAGGGCAAAACATGGAGTGGAGTGGCTGCGACTTCAGCAGCTCACATCCAGGGGCGCGTACTGTCCTCTGCCATTTATGCATTCTCGGTAACGCACACTATCGCACATTAGAGTGGAGACACATGTTGGAGGCGCAGGGAGTGTGGGCGGAGTACAACGACACACTGGCCACACACTTGAGGTTATTTCCTTTTAATGTCATCAATCTGATGTTGGCGCACGAAATAGAAGAACCCTCTGTGACCATTCCGTGTCTTTTAATGAATCCAATCGATGGGAGTAATAAGAAGGAAGGCTAGAAAACTCATCGAAAAGATAAGGCACAATATGATCTTAGCAGCTATGAACATTTGTAACGCACCAAATCCTGTTTGGAGCACCTCAGAGGACTGCGCGTTAACTTACTGTAATTTCCTGGACACATAACCCCAACACGACCTTTGGTTAATGGTATACCAAGTATTCATGAAATGCAATGTTTCAGGCAACAAAACAAATACTAGTGGCACAAACAGCCACAACATTTATCAAATATATAATACAGCACATCACACATTTTATCTCTAACCTTTTTTTCCCTTAGTTTAAGATGATGCTTTAAGTCAGGACTGTTTGTCTGTCTTATATTCACGAAGATGATTTGACCCAATTTAAATGCACTACCCACAAATGGCAACATTGAGCTGACTTATCACACTATAGCATCAAAGTGATTTCCAACATCTTTTAACAATGAGGTAACTTTGTTAGACGAGGAGGGAAAAGTTTTACAGTTATAATGAAGAAAATCTGCGAGGAAAAGTATCTCGTTATATTGTGAAATATTTCCTCCTGAGAGTAAAAAACAAAAAAAAAGTAGAGTGAATCTCATAATATTCAGTATAAACACTCCCTCGGTGTGTTTTTGTGTTTCGGGAGCTGCTTGCTTGTTAAAATCAGCTTTAAAATACACCGCATAAGTGCAATTAGACATAACTCAGGGCTGTGAAATGTAAAGGAGAAAACCAGGAAAGCAGGGTTGCACTAGACCATAGAAAGCATAAAAATTTGAGAGAATGATCGTGTCTTAATTCGTTTGGGGCTAATGCAACATGAAATTATGCATTTACTAAGCAATGTAGATGGACTCATCATTTCAGACTGTGAATACTAAGGGATGCTCTCTGCGATGTTTGATTATCGCTTCAGGATGTACAGAAAGACCCATCTGCCCCAGTGAAAAGTCTACCTCATTTTTAATGTTAGATTATTAGGATCTTTGCGCCCTGAAGCAACAGGGCAGCCCAGTATCTTTCAGTAACAGGCAGGCACATTTTTTCTTGCAAATACAAAATGCATGGTCTTAAAAATATTTCAGACTTCAGTTGTAGTAAGGATTGATCATTTAAAACTATTAGTCTGGTTTGAAGATAAATATTCAGTTGCGGATATATTTCTCAGCTCATTTGAAATCAGCTCCCTTTATCCACACCTTTGCTCTGAATCCGTTGCACGTCCCTTGAAGTTACATAACACAATAATCCTGAGTAATAAACATCCTGTAAATAATCAAGCTTTATTGAATTTTTGTTGATACTGGAATGAAGGTGTGTCAGATTAGCCTGCAGGCCAATGAAATTGCTGTGTACTCAGCTAATGCTGGTAATGATTAAATACTGAGCAGGTCAGATTTGGATGTTAGTCAGGCACTTTGATATTTTACAGAATAACACGATACTACATTAGCTACTGCAGAAATGATTAAATGTGCAAATTTGAAGGGAAAAACTGAACTAGGGTGAACTTTAACCTTAGTCTGCAGAGGTCAGCCAAGCATTCACAGTAAAATAAGGAGCATCAATTTCTGCCTAAAAGTCTTTTAACTGAACCAAATACAGAGTAAAATCTGTACAGCCGTACATGACTGAACATCCAGATGTTTTTAACAGCTGATGGACCTCCTCCTATAGGTCGGTGTATGTCATCATGCTCTTAATCTCTATGTGTTGGTCAAAATACCCAGCAGGCTCATTGGCAGATACAGGGGAATGGGTCTAAATGAGAGCTAGCTTTTAGCTAATCTCTGTTACCTAAAATAGTAGATGATTACAGTATCTATAGCTGTAACATCCACAGGCATAACAGCCCTGTGAGAGCTGTTGTCTCTCTCTCTCTCTCTCTCTCTCTCTCTCTCTCTCTCTCTCACTCTCTCTCTCACACTCACACACACACACACACACACACACACACACACACACACACACACACACACACACACACACACACACTGCCTAATGCACAATTATAGAATCATTTCCCAGTATTTATTCACCCACCTACGACAGCAACTACACTACAAAAAAACACAAAAGAGTTCAGCGCCTTGGAAAAGTACCATAAAAACAGATGTAATGTCTATAGCATGAAACAAATGAGAGAGGCCCATTAACCACAGGTTACTGTACCAAACAAGCACACTATTCAACCAGCTTCTAAATATATCACACAACACACACACACACACACACACACACACACACACACACACACAACACACACAACACACATTACAGTATGAGTGCATATTTTTAACATGTAAACGGTAGCAATGTTTCAGCCCTTTTATGAAAATAGAACTTTTTCTTTTGGGCCTGGAGTTCAGCAGAGTCACTGACAGCACTGCTCAGATCCAAAGTCCTGGTGGTATGCTCGCCATGTTCTCTTCTCATCACTTTTTTGTTTTTATACTTTGGCTTGCTAAACATATTTTATAATGCCTCTGCACCAACAAACTGCTCCTTTAGACACTTGCCGAAAAACAAATTGTTGCATAGCTGATGTCAGCAGGTTCGCAGGCAAAAACAAGGTCAGGAAGTACAAGTAATATATTTCCCAGCATGCCCATCTGCCATCAAAACCTTTCAGAAAAAGGGTGCCTGCTTTAATCAATGGAGGGTAAAGGACTGAATAAATATTTGCAGAGCTAACATTTGTATAGCCTGTTCACTTTAACGTAATTATGTAAATATGTGCTTTCCGTGTAATGTTGAGGGGCCCATTGGCTAGTGCTGTCGAGTGGTCCTATCTGAGCTTTCAGATTATGGGACATTCCTCCTGTTACCCCATTAGACATAATGCCTGTGGTAACAGTGGCGTGCAATACTTCAAATTTAGGTATTATATTCTCATCTCCAACAAAAGCAATTTATTGAACACACTTCAGTGGACTACACACTGTACTGAACCTAGATGATAGAAAGTATCAATCCTATCACGCTGGTACTGATCCGATAGCAAACCACTGTTGATAGCGATACCATCAATATTTGGATTGATCCGCCCACCTCTAGTAACGGCCATGGAGATTCAAAGCAAGACAAAATATTGGATTCAAAACTCAAGTTGAGATTAAAAAAAAAACTATTTCCTAAATCCACCAATTAGCTAGCTGTCCATCCGTGAAACAGCACTCTCAGCATTTTGCAGAAAAGCTCACTCTCCAGATCAGAAGCCAAACTGAAAATGTGCTAAAGACGTTTCTTGTTGGTTTCGCTGTGGCTGTGAAATATGACTGGCTGATATAGACAGGAGACCCTTCATGCATTACAGGCATCACCAGTGTTTCTCCTCGCAAAGTGTTTACTCTGTGTATGCAAGCATGCACACACCATAACAAGCTAACAAGTGAGTGTGACAGCTGCAGAAAGGATGAAAGGGCGAAGAGCAACATACGTGTTTGAACATGTACATTATTAAGCTGGATATTTTGCCACCAAATTCACATTCAGTTAAACTTTATTTTCACACGAAATCTATAGATAGGCTGTGACCATCCCCTCCCCATGACCCTGAAATGCATAAGTTGGAGAGAATGGGTGGATAGATGGATGGATAAAATCTGTACATCAGCATATATTACTCTGCTGCCTGCCAGATACACAAATAAAATGATCTCCCTGAGAAAATAACATTTCTTATTAAAAACGAGTCATTTCCTGCTCTGAATTGCTTTTAAAAGAGATGTGGGGAGCATCATCATACCTAACCACTAAAACAGTAAAGCAGTATAGCTGCAAAATGTTGAGTAAAAAAAAGTAAAATCTGACGTCACCATTGAGGGAATTCTGTCACGTGTAAAAATGATTGCTGTTGGAAAATTACAAGGACTCCAAAAAGAAAAGATCTTCACTGATCTAAATGAGCCACAATATATTAGTTCTCTGTGTCAGCGCTGGACATTATCTTGACACCGCCGAATAAGACAGACTCGGCCATTTGTGAGATCTAAATGAAATGGAAAATGAAATTAATTTTCTTTCATTCTGTTCCTTTTATACAAGGCTTTTGTTTCATAAGTTTAAGAAGTAAATCAGTTTTTGTCTGCAGAATATTGTAAAAAGTGACTGTGACTGAAAAAGGAAACATCTGGTGACCATTCAGGAACTTCTCTCACAACTGTGAGTAAATGAATTTCTGTCTTAATTGCATTTCACTACACGCCACCCATTTGGGAAGTTCATGCTTTAAATAGTAGAAATCAGATAAATATAAACACCAATATGGACATGGTAGGCTGACATGTGGTTATACTTCCAGTGAGCTGACTCTGGCATTACAAATATTCATCAGTGAGAATTTTATAAATTTGTTGCTGCTGACAACATTGGTCAATGGGTCTAAAGTCTAAGCTATTATAATATAATATGATATAACATAACTCATCAAAATTGTGTGATTTTATCAGCTTTTTGTTCAAACGATCAGCCCACCTTAGATCATGCTAAAGTGTTTTATCTTCAGCCTAAATTCAGTTATCGATTCTATTTAGCAAGAATTTGCCAGTCAGCCATAAACCAAGTCCTCCGTGTTCACCGTGGGTTTCCTCCGCACAGCACTCTAATGCCCCTACTCACGTAATAAGTCCTTGTTAATGATGCCTAAAGATGATGGCCAGAAGGTGATCCTGGTAGTGGATCGATAACTCACCACGAGGAGTCAGCCCATAGTTCATCGTGCACCACAGGGAAAACTGAGCTTTCCCTCTCCAGGCGTACTGTTTCATACTAGAGTGTTCATTTCAGAAATTTGATTTCCCCTTTTCACGAGATATGAAAGGTTTTTTATTTTT